GACTTAACTACGCGATAAATTCAAATCACAAATTTCAACTTACGAGTGACAACGTAGGACAAGGAGAGAAATTCGATCGATAATGGTCGAATAACGAATATTACTGCAAATTGAAGACGCCTTATAATGTCTTTCTCGGTGGAGCGTTGAAAAAAAACGGTACTCTGCTCGCCGATCGTAACGATGCCTGTCGTTAAACGACAAATATAATCGTACTAAAATTAGGCGAACCAAAGTACCCGTTGCAACGGCCGCACGACGTAGTTTCGCAACGGTGATTTGGAAAGCGATTTGGAAAGCACACGGTGAATTTTGCCTCGTTACTCACTGGCAGATTAGGCGGTCACATGTTTGGTCGAGTGAGAGTTCCCTTCTATAACGGACCTTTCCGTTCAATTTTTGGGCCGACGTCGTTAAATGCCGTTACGAGGTGCCTTTCAAGGTATCGAATTCTTATTCCTGTCGGACTTTTACGCCCTAATCGCATACTGCTCAAGACAATCGGGGGATCGTTATACAGTAGAGTTGGCAAACTTTTTTTATAAAGGACCAAATAATAAATATTTTAGCCACTAAGACCGTTATAACTAAGCACCCGTTTTAGCGCATACTTTGAAACTATATACTTGACGCATACAATGTGAAATTGTAGAATCTATTCTCTTTCATTAAAAGAGGCGGCGGGCCGGACTTGGCCCGCGGCCGTAGTTTGCCGACTGTAAAAAACCGCCTCGAGAGCCCCGCACCGCTACTTTAATGTGAGTCTACTGTAGTAGGCAAATAAAGGCATTTAAATTGTTTAGAAAGTGTACACTGTATTGACGATTGTAGCGGCTGCAATACATGAGCCGTCCACTTGCCAAAGTGATTAACTCCACAAAATATATATTTAAGACTTGTTTCAACCCCTTAACGCCCAGTGTTGCACTAGTGCAACACTCATTTTAAAAATACGCCACATTTCGTCGTGAGTTAATATCTCATATTTGTCAGCAATGATTTGTAGTTTCGCTGATGTGAAGTATATATCTACGTTTTCAGTCACAAAATTCAAGTATTCCCTCCAGAAATCAAAAAAGAGCAATTGATCTAGAAGTTGTTCGTACAGACATACACAGTAGACTCGTTAAATGCTTTTGTAATTTGTGACAATCTCTTCAAGAACTGTATTATTAAATGCAAGACAAACTTCAGTCCCTCTTCGTAGATGTACTAACAAAGAATTGAATCATGAATGAAACGCCATCTCAATAGATGTTTTCCTAGATAATTGGTCAAAGGAACGGATAATTAGAAATAAACTGTTATACGTCCTCTTCGATTCTCGTCGTTTGTTCGTATAAAATTTTACCCGTCACCGGTCAGACATGATCTGTCGCGAAAGCTGCTCCCTCGGCAATACGAATTAAATTTACATTATACCGTACAAGTGGAATCGACACGTGACATTCACGCGTAGAAAGTTGCATGAATGGAAAAAAAGTCCGGGTTGGCCCTTTTACGGACGTATAGAGATGTTCGAGATCGTATCACGAGAACGGAGACCTAATGGCTCGCGCCGGCATAGTGTCGATACAAAGCCTTTCCGCCGTTATTCAGATAAATCACTGCTGATACTATCTTCCTGAATGATACTACATAATCGTGCCATGGGAGGAACACGTGGTCCAGATTACACGGCGTTTTATTCGATGAAAAATTCTGAAACTCGGATAAAGATGTTAAACGTGTTGAAAATACTTAAAAATATTTTTTCGTGTGCATTGGTTAATATTAAGTGGATAGGTATACAAAACTGTACACTGATTAAATTTATTTTAGGTATCGTTCGCTTCAATTTAAAAGGTTTTATCTACTGCAAACTTATGGGAACATTATTGTTATGAAATTCTTAACTTCTATTCTGTTTCATTAGTACCATTTATATTTATTTTCCTTACTTTTTTACTACTACAATCGTTCTCCCTAATTAAATGTCAGCTTATACGCGCAGTTCACTACATTTTCAAGGCGAAATCTGCTTGATCACACTTCAGCAATTTGCTTTGATGATCTTGCATTTTATGACCGATATTCCATACAATCGATAGTTCACATAAACACCGATGTAATCAGCGTTTTATACAGAGATTCTCATCTGAACTTTACAATGCGATTGAGCAACGGTGAATGAGATTTTTCATTCTCGAATAAAACAAAGAACAATGCGAAGCGCATAATCCTTGAAATAGTTCTGAATTAATCGTTCGGTGCAAATAGTACATTATTTCGACATGAAAACTTTTGAAACTTTTAATGACGAAATAAAGTAGCTACAACGAGTTCCACGGAGTTTTTGTGGTATCGTTTGAACACTATAATTTTATTCTTTTTATGATGTACACACACCGGAAGATCGTGTTCCTATGACATCCTAATTTTGAAATTGCCTCGCTTCTTCGAGGATACTAATTTTAAGAAAGATAATCCTTTTTTATACGTGTTATTATAGCAAAGGATTCGATTGGCAATCCGAAAGAAAGATCAAGGTAATATTTGCCTTGAATGACAGGATATAGAGGTTAGTCTTTATAGTTGCCTAAATGGAATAATTAGTTATATATTTTTTGTTCTAATTAATTGCATCGCTAGATATCCTGGTATAATTATACCTTCATTTGAGTGATGCGATGTCAGACATCTGAAGTAGACCATGCTCGGATTTATCATTTAAAATCTTTAAAATCATTCGTTGCTGCAAAAAATTCTCAAGCAAATGGGACCTCGTGAAGCTAAAACTAAGAACCAAGTCTCGTGTATTCTCTGAAATTAGGTCTATTAAAATTTTTTGCTGTAGCACTTTAAATGGTTGACATTCACAGTGTATTTATGCAAATGCAAGATTTTATAATATACAAAAGTACTTTGTGGAAGCAAAAAAATCTCCATTAAAAGCACTTACAAATTGTAATTAATGTACATATTCAGTGTAATAATCTGGGAATAATTAAGAAAATTATGAGTAAGATATCTTACACATATTTCGATCAATAGTTTTATATTTTCTTACTCAAAACAAACAACAACTGCAAAAGAGCTCATTTAACCCTTTGACTACGAAAGGTATATACATATATATACGCCCAATGTCTCTATTTCTAATCACGTCCCGATTTCTGCTCAGTACATATATTTTTTTACTTAATGTTAAGTGTGTCCGTCGTAAAGACGGATTTGAGCGATTCTGTTGCGATTGTTTTAGTTACACGTGGACGCTGTCTTTTTACTAAAAAACTTACGGACTCCATAATACCGTTCCCCAAAGTTTGGCTTTATCACTTCCATTTTCGCTGAGCAGAAATAGGGATATTTTATACTTTATATTAAATTAACTATTATTAAATTAAAATGTTTTTAAAAATACTTTTATTTAAATTTGTTTATAAAAGGAGGTTTAAATTTGATATCAACTTAGATTTTATGTCGATTGTTGCATAAATAAATAATAAAAATCAATTTCTGCAATAGCAGAACTCTTATACGATTAAAAATAGGGACATTGACTTTATATCATTGTCTGAAAGTCCTCCAAGCTTTTATTTTAACAATATCATCGTTCCACAAATGTTCCACAAAAGGACAGTGACCACCGTACCTGATCGCATATTTAATTCCACGGACTTATAATTAACTTTTGATACAGTTTTCACATGAAAGATCGCGACACACCTACATTCTGCCCTTAAGCTGTTTGAGTTGCGCCGTTCGCCATAAGATTTGCATAGCGTTTATCCTCGCCACCTTCGGCGAGCAAGCGATACTGTCCCATATAGCTCGTCGTTTATAGTAATGGCGGACCTCCAGCGTAGCTGACACGATTTTTTCTTCGTCCGTTGTACTCCCGAACATTAGTCACCGCAATTACGGCCGACCGATGATTTTTTAATAGCGGCGAAAGTTTCACTCGACACGCCTGTACGTATGTATATCGATGAATGCGTGGCCCCATCACGCATTTATTACGGTTATTATTCGGTTCTTTTTTCATTTTCTCGCTTTTCGTGCGCGCGTTCCATCGACGCGTGAGGCCGTTTCGTCGGATACGATTACGGTCAGCTGCGGTGAGAATAGATTCTCGGATGATTCGATCTTGGTACCTAGGAATGAAGAAATGAATTCGAGGAACGTAGACCGCTTAGGGGAACGGAAAATGCTTGTGATACTTGTATAACGAAATTCATTAATACTGAAGTAACTGCGATAGCTGGAGAACAGTACTAAAAATTTATTAGGTTGTCTTGTAACTCGGAAATTTAGTCAATGTTATACATCATTTCTATAAATTTCGTCTGTACGTAAAACAACTTCAACTTTGATTTTTTCTTAAAGATACAGAGACCATCGAAATGTCGGATCGTTTCAGCTTCACACTGACATGACTGCTGAATATATTTTTTATTGTGTATTATAGCTACAACAAATATAGTCGTGGAAGTTTCAATCAGGGAAAGCAAATATCAAAATCTCTATATCACAGAAATATGATATGTGCCGATGATTATGAAAGTAGTGTAAGTTAAAAATCTAAAAAATTGAACTTATCATTTGGTGTCACGTCAATTTACATAATCTAATGCCAGTTTCATGATCAATGACAAATATCTTGTCCCTGAGAGATCGGTCGCTAAAACAATCGCTGTTTCATTACTGTATAACCTCGAAAGGTCGCCGATAATCTTTGAGAACATTAAACAAAAAATCGAGTAAATTCATCAATACATTAAATCATCGATGAGTGCTCGAAGGCTCCTCAACACTGAATATTAAATATTTCATAAACTAATGGCCCAATATTGGCTTCAGAATTCCAAGCTCTATCACTGTGCTAAACCTCATTATAAAAGTCAGCGTTACACCTGGGGACGTTTCCTTGTCAGTGCCAAAGGGCCTTCGAACACTCATCGAGGATTTACTGTAATCGAGAATTCTAAAATAATATCGTATTTTTTTTCTGTTCGCAGGACCGTTTAACTGGTCACGGGGGCATATCCTCGCTGGGCGGCGGTAACTCGTCGCCGTATTCCGGTGCCCATCATCATGGTCACAGAGGGAACGGAAACGGCAGCGGGATGCCCCATCACGGCGGTGCCTCGTTGCCCACCGCCTCCGACTTCCAACCCCCGTACTTCCCTCCCCCGTTCCCCTCGCATCACCATGCGCCGGCGAGTCCTCAGCATCCGAGCCTTGGCCAGCCGCAACATCTCGATTACCTCGTCGGCGACCCTTACACGCAGACGCTGAACACGTTACATCAGCATCATTACAATCACCTGAGCGCCGCCGTCACGGCTGGCCAGAGGAGCGGTGACCTGAGGAGGGATGCGGAGGGAATCCACGTGGTGAGTAGTGATTACGTCACGATTTATACTTAACCCATTAATACCGATCGACACGAAATTGTATCAGATTACGAAGAATTTTTATTTTGTACGGGACCGAGTGGCAGTAGTTGACAATAATCGATTGAAAATTGGTTGAACAGAAACGAAGTTGGTAAACGTGGTGTCAACAAAAATGTGGGACTGTTTCAAAGGGTGGATTCTAGACGTCAAATTAAAAGACGAAAATCAAGAATTGTGAGATTGAGTTTGAAGCTTAGTTGCCAAGTTATTAATTGTTGAACATACGGACAAAATACGCGTGAAATACGTCTGACGTGGTGGATTATACTGCCCTCTTTACTGGAATTCTGTTAACTGACATATTCAGACATACGAGAAAAACGAGGTATTCTCATTTTCTTTGTGTCGTACTTGTTTCTCGTCGTAGGCCATTTTAATATAGGAAACGATTTAAATCATATTTATTTTATTTGTTCACATGTATCTTGAACGTAAATATTTAAGGCATAAACATAAGTCATAACTCAGGACTTTCGTAGATGTTACATAGAACAATAAATATAAATTAGTAGAATTATTCATCATCAACTATTACAATTCAATTAAATTAGGTAGGCAGGTTATCTTTCTTTTGAGTCCTGCCCATCGCTAAAAAAGGTTCGCCGTCGCTGGCATAACAGAAAGGACGAACAAAATCTTTCCCCCTACAGGAACTAGAATCTGAGACAGCACTAAAGGTAGCATCCATGACGTCCCGAACGGAACCGACTAAAGCCGGATTCACACTAGCGGTCACGGTACGGTCAGATCACGTCAAATCAGTCAGCGGTCTTTATCAATCACACGTAATCCAATAAGAGAGATATACTTTAAATTCAGATTGATCATGATCGAACCGTACCTTCGATCGCTAGTGTGAATCTGGCTTAATCGTCTCACGGTGGTCGCGGAAACACGGTGATCTAGCGCGGATCCAACAATCTCTTGGCCTCCCCTCAATCTCCCCTTCCCCCGTGCACGCGTAAAATCGAAGCGCGCGGAGATCCGGTCACGTGCAGGCCTTACTACCTCATTAGAAAAGTGCGCGGCGTGTTATTTGTAGGACGGGGCCCGCTCGGGGACCCATCTGGCGAACAGGAGGGGGAAGAGGGGAGGGGGGTGGCGTAATAATGGGTGGTATCGATCTATTAGACGTATCGCGGGGCCAATAAGTCCACCCGTAACATCGGTGATTGCGATCGTTGATCCCCACTGAGGGCACACGCGAGCCACGGGCCACTGGTCGCAGCGATGCGCGCGACATTTGCATTCGCCACGGGGCCCAGGCCGTACCTGTCCCCGTGTAATAATACGGCCCGCCTTCACGGGCCCCTCCTGATGTTCCCGTAACTTGAAAAGAAACGAGCCGTGACACGCTGAAAAAACTGGCCTGGGTTGAGAAGGAAATCGAAGATGCAACGGAACGTTTTAGGATCGGATTTTTCTGGTCTGTAGGATGAATCTCAACGGTTTCTTGCTCGTTTTCCAGCTCGTTCCTTTCTGTTCTGAAATTACCTCCGTGGCAACCGGGAGATACACGTTCAAATACGTGGAATGGATGAAACCTCGGTTAAGTACCCATGCCACGGCTTTTTGTTTGACGAGGTGCCAAGGGAATTGTTTGCACTATGCGGGGAATAGCGCACGCGAAAGAGCGTCGATCTAGGTTTATCCTGCGGGGATCTATTTGCGGAAATGTGTTTGACTGTGACCGTTGATCCAACAGGGGTTGCGCGGGCGCGTGGTACCTTTGAGCGTGAGGGATTTAAAGGATTCTTTTGGGAAGATGCATTCGTGAATGGAGTGTATCTGATTTGAGGATTAGTTATCGTATGTTGATACTGCGTGTGCTCCGATAACATTGTCTAAAAATTTAAGGTGGCTTACGAAAATTTGTAATAATTATAGATTTAGTTGAAAATTTAACAGAACATTCTTAAAAGCTTCAATTTTTTATTGCTACCAAAAAATCGCAAGGTCGACGATAAAATTATTGAAAAAGAATTTTAAATAGACAATACTGGAAATATTTATTGCATCGCTGGAATATTAAATACGTTATGGCTCATACCTCTCTTATTATTAGTACTAGGATACCTAAAATTGGTTAAAACAGACGTTTATTGGAAACATATGTAGCTCGCTCTTTTACCCAAACTAAGTCGGACACGAATCACTTTATCAAATATATGAGAATTGTGCAAACTATGTAAATTCGAGAGTGATGTAATAAATATTTCCAGTACTTTATTCGATAATACAGCTTAAAATCGAGAAAGTAAACCTAATAAATACAAATCCATGAATATCAAAGACTACTTTTAGTTGTAACGAAGTTCTTAGTAATCTAGAAATACGTGAATTTAACAATAATTCATCAAAGTATGAGTAATACAAACTAATTAGTAAACTGTCATTCTTTATAGAAAATAAAATTTTAATACAATAATTTGAAGAATGACAAGTTACACAGTCATTCATTTCCCCTCTCAACGATACCAACGACTTAAAAATAAATTACAAAATCTTCATTAAATTCCGTTTAGGGTTCCACTTCATTATAAAAATCTTCACATCACCCTCTGTCACTGACCAATTCAATCGAAATCTAATCGACAAACAGTCGTAGGTACTCTTCCCAGGGAGCTTTGCCTTCGAAATAAACGCCCGCTGAGTTTTGTTCGCACAGAGTTCCTGTTACGGTTACGCAACGCTATTTAATGGACAACTTTAGACCTCTAATAACGCGAACGGTAATGGTATTTGTGGTCCACCTTACTCGAATAGCTTTTATGAACGATATCACCCTAATTACCCACGGTGTGACACGCGCACGCCACACTATGGATTATGTTTTTCGGGGCGGTTTCTATCGGTGTCGTGTGACGTTTTGGCAAAAAGGACCTGGGCCTCGACGAAACACGACACGTAACGCGCACGAGAAGAATACGTCGTTCGGTTTCGCGGGGCTCGAAAAGTGGGCAGAAGAGAACACGGGGTTCGCTTTAAAGCATCTGCCCTGCACGTCGCCATATGCAGTTCTCGTGTTGCGAAACACGTCCCCGTCGTCGAAAATTGTTTATTGCAAGATTCGCCCTGTAAAACATGCCCTTCCCGTCAATGCCATTTGTCCCCCGGTAAAGCGTTGAAAATCGACACACAGTTTTGGTGTTGGTTCGTTTAATATTTCGATGCCCGATACGCGTATTTACTTTTCGTCGATAAAAGGTTGCGGTACTGTTACAAACCAACAATGTGTCCATTGTAAATTTGTTCATTTATTTACGGTTGTTGAGAAATTAACGATACATGTTATTATTAGTATTGTCAACTTTGTCTGTAAGCAATATTTTTGTTTAATTTTGTAGAAATTATATCGTTAACTTGAAATGAATATTCAGTTTGCAGATCACAGAAGTTACGTCGATTTGTTCTTAACGATATTTTATATTCTAACGAACGGGACAACTGTTTGTTTTCCATATTGTGGTTTTTTATTGTAACTTTTGTTAACGTAAGTTAACATGAATGTGACACTTGTATTTCAATGAAAGATGTATGTCGAGTCTATTTAATCTTACTTTGTATAATAAAATTCGTGTAATGTTTAATGTGCAACAACCTGGTACATACTAATACGTCTGTAAATTAACGTTTGCATTGTTTCTTTTTATTTCTTCGCATTGAGCATTTTAAAATAAAGAATTTTAGATAGAATAAGTGTTACATAGAATAGTATATTCGTAAATATAAATATGAAGTGATGGAATTGGCTTTAAAATACTTTACTATCTTACGAGATTGCGATATCGATTACTTCAAGCAGTACAACCCCTCGTACCCTATCTCAGTCTGGCCAAAGCACATTCTTCAAAGAAGGGTGGCCGACCTCGTTCTCAATGAAATCTTACACTGACGCAATCTCTCCTGGTTTATGAAACATCGGACAAATCCCGCAAATACTTCTATAATCCGGCATCAGGGCATGTTAACATTCTCGTGCAATAATAATTTCTTTAACCTGCTCGCGTTAAGTTACAGATTACTGTAATAGCGATTGAAATATTAAAATAATTATAATTATAATGTATTAGGCTCCTAAATTACACTTTTTAAAAATTGCTTAGAGAACAAGGGAAACTTGTGTTGCAGGCCAAGATTAGAAAATAGAGAGACATCAATGCTTGTGATAAATATTTACGTAATCATTTGAAAAATGAAATCTGATTAAAAGTATATTACTATACATCAAAATTGCAACACCAAAAAGAACCCAACTGAATTGATTAATTTTTCGTCGTATGTGTCGTAGATGAAACTTCACCTGCCAATTTTGAGGAATCAATGATTCATCAAAATGCAATTTTAATTGCTCTGTTTTCTATTAATTTCATTTTTATTACCATATGTTTCCTTGGTGTTACAGTTATTGTGCATATCAATATAATTAGGAACCTTTTATGGAGAATAAACGTACATTGAAGCTTTTCTAAATTTTACATATGAACCTCTTACAGTCCTACGTCCAAACAAATTGTATGCCACCATTGATAATTATTGATTAACAGAAATACTGATTCACGTAAATTCCGTTAGATATGGCGTGAAATATTCCAGGAGATTTGTGTCCCTTCTAGTTTGTCTAAACCAGCCGAAGTTTCTGGGTGGATACGCGATTACGGGGGTTTGACGGGACTTTCGGTCTACCAGAAGACAAAATAGTTATACGCGGGACAGGAAGTCTTGAGCACCGTTCCAGAGCTATACGCAGTAATGCCGTCTTGCATAGTTGATCATAGTTAGGAAACTTGCTACACGTCGACTCTTGCCACCCTTAGCATTTTCGGTTCGGTATCTGTGTTATAGAACATCGAGAACGACAACGATGTAGAATATACTTGGACGGCATGAAGGGGACAAATCGTTGGAAATCATATCACATTGCATAATTTTCCCTA